CTGCTGCTGCTGCTGCTGCTACTACTACTACTACTACTACTACTATTTTTAATAGCATTGCTGCTGTTTATTACTGATATCTAATACTTAACGTTGCTACTAACTCGTTACTTTGACCCTATTAATAACCCGTCTCTCAAATAGATTTAATGCTTTCATCCAAAATAACATACCAACATTCTAAGCAACATTTTATGATATTGTTATTTCATATACGTGTATATTGCATTTTGATGGCGGCATCACTCCTACCATAGAGCTGCCAATATATTATCGTGACCTCAGAATTACTAAGTTCTTTCTGACATTTTTGGCTGTTTTGAGTTACAAAGACCATGAGGTCAGAAACCTAAATAATGTTTTATCTGCTCTATCAAAATTGTAAGATTATTTGGAGTGGTTATCAAGATGATAATATTATTCCAAGAATTGCATTCGAAAAAGCTTAACCATAATAATATAGTGAAATTCAAAATCTTTAACGTCACAATTTTTAAAACTTGGTACTGAACAAATAGAACTTTGTAATTCTATGGTAGTGATACGCCAAATAATTATAATGATAAATGTTTGTTCAGTTTCGTGATAAATGAATGCTATTTGCCAACCGTAATTGTTTTTTTATTTTCTATTAATTTTTATTTTTGTGCCAAATCTACGTGATTTTTGACTTGAACAATAAATGACATGACCCATAGAGCGTAACTACAAAGTAAATTTTCGTGCTGGGAGAATGGTCGCTTTTAAGGACAAGGGGACTAACCTAGATTACGGTGGTTTCCGGAAAATTTTACCGACACCAAAAGTGGGCATTGCCCTACCTATAGGAGAAGTCTGGTTTCATTGGTGTGTATATTTGTTTGGTTATAGAAAAAACTCTTTTTGTCTTTTAAAGAAACTGAACAACAGTCTTAAAACTTTACCTTCGATTTTCTCAAAACAGCATTTTTCGGGATTGCCCCCTTGTGCTTAAAAACGACTACATGTTTGTTCAGTTTGGTGATAAATGAATGCTATTTGCCAACCGTAAATTTTTTTTTTCTCCAATTAATTTTTATTTTTGAGCCAAATCAATGTGATTTTTGACTTTCTTTAAGTTTAAAGCTTCCATGCACTTGAACAGTAAATGACATGACCAACACAGCGTAACTACAAAGTAATTTTTCATGCTGGGAGAATTGTCTGTGTTTTCTGTCCGGACTTCCCCCATCTTGCTCTTTGGTTTTGAGTTCCCCATGATGCAACACAAATGTGAGGCAGCGTGGTGGAATCAGGCTCTCGTCAAAATAATCAAAGTGAAGAAACTTGCATTTTTCCGCAGGTTTGTGAATTTTTAGCAATTTTTTGTTTTTTGGCACAACAGCTTTCATGCCGATTAAAGAACTCATTTCTGTGTGGGTTTTTTCTGAAAAGCTTTGATTAAAGGTATAAAAAATGTAAATCTTCAGTTACCACGGACCCTTAACTTAGTGAAAGCCATTTTCTCACTAATTTTACCTCTGAAAACAGGTTCCCCCCACATCCTTCATTCACAAATATCTCGACTTGTATTCAAGATACATAGATTTTTTTCCCCAACCAAATAAATACAAATAAACAGGCTTTAAGATGATACCAATAAATAACTCTACATACCCAAAAATTGACGAGAGCCTGATTCCACCACGCTGCCACACAAGTTATTACTCATAGGTCTGGGTCTCTGTCTTTGAAATCTTTTACTTTGTTACTATTTTTATTTGAAATTGATGTTTTACACCGCCATCGGAACAATTAAGACAAAATGAGAAGGAGAGATGGTTTGACTCTGTCTTTTTAGTTTAGTTTTAGTAGAGGTTTTACGGCACTTGCAAAGCTGCATAAGGTCATATGGAGCGCCAGAAGATTAGAGATGTTACAAGAGAGTAATAAATATAAAACAAAAGAAGGAGGGGAGATAAGGACGATAGATGTTTGATAGGAAAGAAGAAGCAAACCACACCAGAGCACCCGCCAACCACCCGCTTATTATTACTTTGCTTTTTTTTTTTTAGTAAGCGTTTTACGACACTTGCAACAACACAATTAGGTCATAATATAAGTGTCGAAGATTAGACTCGTCACAAGAGAATAACGAACTCAACAAAGGAGGAGAGATGAGGGTGATATATGTTTGATAGGAAAGAAGGTTTGCTGGTTTTGATAATGTCTATATCGCCCTGTCATGCAGCTGTGTATACACGATAACTATATTAATATCAATGTACATGTATATATATATATA